GTTAGTCTTGCCTCTTCGCTCACGCATAGTGAACCTGCAGTCTAGCTCGCAGCCAGGAAACAGAATGTCGCTCTGCAAATGCTTTCTAGATTTAAGTACGAGCCATCCACGACAGCGTGCTCGTGTCAAATCATCTTCGAAATAAATCTCCTCCAGTACATTTTTAACGTCACTGAAAGGGATTGGTATATCTTCCAGCCTTTTCTTTACGCTACTCTTTGCCACCCACACCTGTCACATTAATAAAGGGGAAAAGCAAAGTATGTAATGGGGTGTAGACTTATGATTCCATTTTTGGCCCACCTATAGTTTGGGAGAGAGAAAACCGACGTGGAAACAGAGAAAAACTGTGTTCCAGTCTGTCCTTCTATCTGGTTCTCTGTCCGCTCGTTTTTTCGTTAGTCATTTCGGTCAGTCCTTCCACCTGTCAGTCTGGCAGTCTGAGAGTGAGTCAGTCATTTATAAGCAGCATGCCGAATAGCAAACAACCTAATCAGTCTCTCAGACATGATTTTGCAGTTAGGGTCGGTGAGATGACTATGTCAGAGTGAATGTCGCTCTGACGAGGGGCTAACGCTCGAAACTGGTGACCTTGAAAAATACGTCAATTTCATGTTCAAATGAATTTCTCCCTTCGCACAAGCATGAACAGTGTGGAAAGTCTTCATTCGCTCAGTCAATAAATGGGCCATCTAGGGACAAGCCGTCAAAGGGCAAAGCAAATTATTTAAGTTTAGTGTAAAAATATAACAGAAGAACTTAGGAGTTCTATTATGCATTGCACACGTTCGTTGTCTGCATAGGAAGAAAAGAGAAAAAGATCTCTGTAACTTACCTTGCACCTAAGTTTATGAAAGCAGGGTGTCAGATATGTCAGGTCATATCTGGAGATATATTCGTCGTCTTCAGTGATCTCTATGTAGCCATTTCTTTTAAAGATATCCTCTGGGATATCATCTCGCTGAGTAAAAGAAACTTTCCAAAAACTTTCCCCGGCCTTTTGAAACTTTTCTGTTATCTCCTCAATTCCCCACGTTTGTTGGAGAACGTCTTCTACGATATCAAAAATGACATTTACATCATGAATATGTCGGTAAATAAACCACTTTGTAAGTCTCGCGAGGTGTGTCAAGTCAGCTGGGTCTGTGTTATCAGTAAGGAAATGCAAAGCGCATAAGGGAAACATAAAAAGAGAGAGCATCACCGAGCACACGATGGAGAAACAGCGAGAAGGACGACAACGAAGAGACAACGTAGGAGAAAAAAACAGCCTTTAAACAGGATGGACTTTTGATACTAGGACCTATATTCATCAATGAAAGAGAAAAATGAACACTACCTTCACCAGGTGCTCGAATAAAGGAGGTTCCTAAATGGCACCACATGTCGACCTTTGGACTCTCAGCTGTCTCCACGTTATTTTTAATCTTCCTTAGAGACATCAAAACTTCATCCCGAAGATTTGATTGATACACGATGTCGTTCCCGTTATTGTAGGAATCCTGTCCAGATATGAATTTGCGTTTGGAGTAAAGAGTGTAAATTCGCGATAAAATCATGAAATTGATTTAGCGTACGATTTTTGAAATTTGTCAAAGGGGCGGAAAAAGAAACCTGGGATGACGATTGAGTATTGATAGCACGGATCTCATGGTTTGAAATTCGCAGTCTGTATAAGCATGGAATGAAAAACGCCGAGCATAAATCACAGAAAAGGTCAGCTCTCACAGTATTCCTCCGTCCATTTCTAGTTATAGAATAAAATATGTTCAATACGGGTTGACCAATACGTGCACAGTTTCCTGCGGAATTTTGACATGAAACATACCTCCCTTTCAAAGTGCCCAGCTGGCTTCAGTCGATAATAGGTGTAATCCTCTTCTGGCGTCTCCTCAAGCTTGAGTTTACAGTTCACAGGAAGATGACAGCCATCGACATAGGAGCAAACTTTGTAAAATTCGTTTTCAAAATCCTTTATTCTTGCTCCAGCCTGAAGGTTTAAAGGCATCGTTACCAGTGCTCAGAAAAAGGTAAAATGCAATGATAAAGTAGTTTTCTAACCATCATATCGCAAGCACAGTTATTGAAACCCGACACGAGTGTTCAGCTTGTGATAACTTAATTAATTTACAATTAAAATGAAGAAATCTCGGTCACTTTTCGCTGAGGATTAACTAAAACCAGAATTGGTCAACGAAAAATTTTTCACCATGCTGTGCGTGTATTCTCTCCTTCTGATAAAGGGCAGAGATTAACGGCCATAAAGGCTTTTGGTGGAAATTTAATACCTTGATAATTGGGCTTTTTTTACAGACTTTTACAATTTTACAGAAAGCTGAAAGTCTAAGTTTTCTCCCAAAATTTTAACTATATTTTGATTATTATTATTTTTCTCGATAATTCACCTTTCTTTTATGTTTTATTTAAAATTTGAATTCCAAGAGGTCTGTCTTCATAAAGAGGGAAAGAAAAATACAGTTTAAAACTTTTCGGCGGCCTATTGTTTGTTGCTAATAACCTATCTTCTTGTTCTCTGCCTATGTCAGGCCTAAATGTTCCTTTCGTTAATAACTTGTAGCACGGGCTAGGAGTTTCATATTTATTGGCAGCTTCACGGAATCAACTTAGCAACAGTTACTGGTCCATAAAACAAACAAAAGGCCGAAGAGACCGTTACAAGGGCACATTAAGACGACGCAAGGAAAAGAAAACACGAACTAGAAGCATGATTTTAAACATCACACATCTTGGTGAGTTATCGAGTTAGTTTTAAGTGGTTACAGTCCAGAAAACACAATTTTTTCCTTCAAAAAAAGGGCACGAGTGCTAGAGTTTACTCCTCAGTTTGCAATAAGCAGTTCCTGTTTACCACACTTGATAAATACCATCGTTTTTTCTCCTTTAATTTTTAGTCTGCTACACTCTGGAGTTCAGCAAGAATATCCTAAATCACGCCCGTACTGCGGTCTCGCTTTCTGGATGATTATCAAATAATAAATTAGTTCATACCACAATTAATCCAATGCTAATTTTTACTTGTCGCCGTTGTTGTTCTGTTCCACGGACTATATATACTTCTCGTTCCTTTACAATAAGTTTTACTCCTGTCTGGGTTTCTAGCTCGCGTAACTTAGCTCTCCATTTGCCAATCACCCTGCCTTTGTGTTTATCTGGAATTTCAACCAGCTCGTCCCAGTTATCTTTCAGCTCCTCCTGAAAAAAGGAAATTTATGGAGGTAGTTTTGCTGGGTCAGCTGCCTTTAAAAGAACTGTCAATATCAAAATTCTGAGATATGTCCAGAAATGCATGCAGTAACGAAGAATCGTGAAAATTCGTCAAGCTGATTTCGCTTAGACAAATTTGACTGAAATTCGCCAAAATTGTCAAATCAATAAACATTCACTCGATTTGACGAAATTTCCTTAAATTTGACATTTTCCTCACTATGTACATTTCTGAACATGAGTGAAAATTATTCACGAAGGACTCAATATGAAGTAATGTTGATCTTAACACGATAACGTATCTTGAACTGACCAGTTTTTCAGATATCAGCTGTTTGGCCATCTCTATTCCCTCTTCGTTTCCAATGATAGTAAATCCTGGTTGATCTCTGCTCCCGGGATCAATTGTGGTGTCAGAAATCTCAATCATTTCATTAAGCACGACTCGCTGCTTACCAATTACATGGCCTTTCAACTCTACTGGAACAGGCACGAAGGCAAACAGCGATGCATCCATAGTTTTCTCTCCTTGGTACCAGATAAATCTGAAAAACATATAATTTACTATTAAATTTATCTCTTAATTCTTTTGCGTTTTGTATAAGTCTGTCTTGGTCTCTATCATGAGGTGCTCGATAAACTATACCTCTCAAATATTTTCCTTTGAAATCAAAGAGTAATCATTTTTCATTTTAATGACACTGTTGGTTATTTGAGATTGTAACAAAAAAAAAAAAAAGAAGATAAAACAGAAGAAAAACAAACCAACCCACTTAAACAACATCCAAGACTGAGGAGAGTCGTGCACTATATCAGACTAAATCCCTGTTTATAGCTGTTTAAAATTGAAAACAAAAACCAAATAAAAAAACCAAAAACAAAAACAAATCAAAACAAACCGAAAAAAGATAAATAAATCATTAAACAGACAGACAATTCATTCCACAAACAAACAAACTGAACTGATCACAGAAAAAATTCAGAGGCACCTTCATTCTCAGCGCTCAGGTGCATGAATAATTATGCAATACGTCGATATGTCATTCAGTACGAATCACGTAACTTATTAATTAACTTCTGAAAATATAATAGTCAGGTGCTGCCCTTCGGTTGAACTGTTCAGAGATCTTGTGTACTCTCACAGGTAATCGTATATCTCAACTCAACGGACCGAGTGGGAATCTGTATAGATTTCACTGTTTACTCTTTCGTCTAGGAATATATTTGTATTCTCAATGACCGTGAATGAAATTACTTTGCAATTATTCTTTATTCTCCAATCTATATTCTCCAAACTGTTCGCGCGTACTAAAGTTACAACATTTCGAATGCATAAGTTAATGCCAGGTTAAACATTTGTATTATTTTCATTTTGCTTTAATGGCTCGTTTATAACGTTTCTACCGGACACTAATTCGATACATAGAATAAATTCGACACCCGAGATTTTTTGAAACCCTAAGCAATTTTAAAACATTGTCCCGAAGTTACTATTTCTGAGCTATCCTAATTTCAGTCACGACTTTGAGTATGATGGATGACGGAGAACGTTACGCGATTTGCTTATACTTAAAATCAAAATAAATTAAATCAAATTAAACTGGACACGATTAAACATAACAATAAAATAAAATAAAATTTAACTCACTAAAATGTCCACCAATATGTTCAGATGAAGCGTTTCATAGCATTAGATAAATGCACTTTTCGCAAACATAAACAGTGACGACTCGATCATCATAGAATTTTACCTCAGAAGCGAAACTCAACAAGGGATATCGCTCCTTGGTTGACCGAAATTACGTGTACTAACAATGAATACACAAGCAGCTCGCTGCATATTCGATTATAAATCGATCATAGCTACCATTATTCTTGGTCATAACGAACCCAAATACACTTTATGCTCACCACATTCCTTCCTTAATGCAATCTTCTTTACCAAAAAGTGGCTATGCTTAAAAATCTTCAAATCGATCCACTCGGATTCAACTCGGGATACTTCCGGGATAGAAGTCTAACAACTGACCACAGTGCTAACCACGACCGCAGTGCATCCTAGGAAGAAAATGTAACGTAACGCTTTCACGTTGGTCTGGTCCACTGTCTTTGTATCCGCTTAGCTTACTGTTCTCTGTCCATTTCTGGATGTTAATTGGAAAGAAAATCCTCGTTACCTGACCAACGCTCAGCACCGTCTTTGAGAGTTTTTTTTAAATCTTATTTAATGTTGTCAGCCTGGGTAGGATGTCATTGTAAGTATTTGTAATCCATACCCTAAATTCATCTATAAAAAAAGTAGAGCGACTGCATCTCTTTTTTTCTTATCAGGATCCTTTTCTCAGAGTATCATTTAATAAACGTTCTCGAAAAATATTAGTTTCAAACGCCAGCCGTCTTACATTTTAGGCAAAATAGGTTATTTCTGAGGAATCTGTTTTATTTTTTAACATTTGTAATTTTATAAGACTCATTTCTATTCATTTATTCATTATTTACTTTTCTTATTAACCAATTAACGCTTTTAGACGAACACGTCTTCCTCCGTAAGAATTTTATCTTTTATTAAGGAACTGTGTAAAGAAATGTGCGATGACCGTTTCTATTGTCCTTTCGTAGACACTACGAATTCCCAAAGAAAGCATTTGAAGATTGCTTGGATTAAAAGTGATTTGACGGAGAATGATTAAAAAAATAATAATTTTGGAAAAATCTGATGTATGGTACACGAGTCAGTTAATCTATTTCGCTGGAAAGTGTACCGCGGGCTCTGAAGACGATATGCAGCCGACAGAACGCAACAAATGTTATTGAGAGGAGAGGGCTATAGCTAACGAGTGTTCCTTTTGAACGTTTACCTTTGGCAGAAGTGAGCCGAAAAAAGATTCCATTATTTCCAGCTACTGAGATAGCCGAAGAGAGCCTTTAACTTTGAGATTCGACCAAGATTTTGGCAACACCGGAAGCACTTCCGGCTGTATCTCGATCACTTCTCGTGCTGAATCGATCTTAAGCTGGATAAATTAATTTTACGAGCATCCCCGATCATATGGAATCAAAAAGAAAACGGTAAGGCAATTATATCAAATATTCATTCAAGACGAGGCTCTTCGTTTCGAATACATTTGACGACAATCTTGTCAAAAAAGTGTATCGTAGCTTCGTTATTGTTTGTCAAAGAATGGTTCGACACTGTCTTGATTTAAAAGTAACATTTACACTCATGTTTAAGGCAAATTTGATGATGAAGTCATCAATTGCGTGATCAGTACGTTTAAAAACTAACGATCATCGGTGAAATGAAAGTATAATTTTACAGCCGTTTTGTCAAATTTGTTTAAATTTCCTCCACTCGGATACTAAAATACTGAAAATCTTCTATATGCTGTACGCCACATTTGCAATAAGATATAAGAAACGATGCAGTACATATGCAAGTATTACTTTTGCAAGCTATTCGGGAGCAAAATTGTAAATTACCGTGGTCAAAAAAGATTTTTCACTTGAAAAACATAAAGACAGAACACTTCCTCTTACAACTCTGACAAAGATGATTGCTTCCCAACGTTGACTTTAGATTGGAAAACTGCTCATGGAGCAAAACCATTTTTCAGGGTTTTCAGATGATAGTTCCAGACTGTAGTAACAAATCCTGAAAGAACAATGGAGAGCGAATATCTGCATGTCCCCAAGGAACTCAAAGGTCACGTTATTGGAAAAGGAGGACTAGTGATAAAGGAGATCAGAAAGAGTTCCTCGGCAAATATCACTTCAAGGAGCAGAGATGAGGAAGGATTTACTATCACCGGTACCAGGGAACAAATAACAAATGCGAAGAGATTAATCTCAGAAATAATGGTAAGTTTAAAACATGGAACAATTCTGTAAATGTTTTGTAAATTTAAGCAACTTTGAGGAGGGCCTGCAATTGCAGGCCATCTTGTAATTTGGAATTAGTTGATAAAATTCCGTTCAAAAACGGAAATGAATCCGTAAATGCTCACCGTGCTATAAAGGTAACATCTCTGGGGAGAACCTGGAAATGCATCCGGCCATCCTTTTACTTTTACTAAATCACACGACCGTTAGATAAATAGAATATTGCCTGAATGAAACTTTCGGCTCTTTACATTGTCCTTGACAACCACGAGTGGAAGCACAAGGATGCTGACCTTAAGTCGTTAATAGTTGTGCAATTTTCGACAAGTTCATGGTATCTCTGTATGATGAGTTTGTTTTCTGTGTGATATTAACAGGAAGAAGTTAAGGGAAGGAAAACTGAAGGATCTCCGGGTGAACTGGTAAAAATTCCAGATAAGTACAAAGGAATCGTCTTTGGTGTGGGAGGCGATACCCTCAAAGAAATAAGCACACAGACTGGGGCAAGGATGATTCGTATACAAGGAGAATGTTATATAACGAGTGGTACCAAGTCTCAGAGAGATATGACAAAATTACGTATTTGGAGTATAGTGGTGAGTATCACCTTAT